ATTGTGCTCCTGTAGACCTCTGGGTGTACATGGGGGTATATCAGTGGGGCTCCAGGCATGTGGAGATGCAGGGGCCATCGTGCCCCAGGGTAGGATGCAGTCTGGTGTGGGCTGGGCTTGCAAAATGGTGCCATGCTGTAGCTGCTTAGGATTCAGGGAGTGTATGGGACCCAGCATGAGTTTCCCCGCTTGAGCAATGCTGTTGCATGGTCTCTAGGCAGCTCCCTATGCTAGTCTCTGGGCCTATGAAGATCCAGGGGCTGTCCCAGGGCTAGGGTTGCAAGAGTCTGTGGTGGGAATGCGGACCACTGGGGATCTCTGCCTTTCCCCACACTAGCCTCTCTGGGCTCCTAGGCAATCCTGGTTGAACCAGTTGCCTAATTTATCTCTCCTTCCATGCCTCAATTGTTTCCTGTCACTTCTCTGTTGAATTCTAGTGTTCTCTTGGATGCTCTATTCAAATGCCTCTAGTCAGCCATTTTGAAGCCTTCCCCTAGGTCTTTTTTTCCCCAGGCTTACATCCCTAAGCTGCCGCAGTTCACCAATTTTCTATTACATAATAATATATTTTCTCTTGGATGAGTAGGACTTATCCAGATGGTCTCACCCTTTCAAAATAATTGCAAAGAAGATTAAAACTGCATTTAGGAACTGTTCTAGTTGGCTTTTGCCTTTCTCTGATGCATACTCTAGAGATTCATACCACAAACTAGGTATAAGGTTTTAAGGGATCTCTTACTTTATCTGCCCAACTTGCTTTTTCTGGGAACAGCTACCAATTTCTTCCTCAATATACCCCCTGTTCCCTTCTCCCAGCTATATGATTCCTGCTGCTGTATGATCCTAGATCTTGGCCACAATTGATAGGTTCAAGATTAGATTGCTGATCTGAGTCTGGCAACCCATAACACCTTGCCTCTGAACCTTGCTTCACTAATTTAAGGGAAGGCACCTGAACCAGGAAAGGTCCATCATAATCCTTCTCTGTTATTTTTTCAAACTCTGCAAAAGACAGCCAGTTCCTCTTTGGTGGTAGAAGTATTAAGATGGAGGGCTTGGCTTCACTGGTAGCATGTTTCCTGCTACAAAAGAGAAGTTAGTCTATCATGAAAGACAATGAAGTATCATGTAAAGAAATGGTGTTCTTGTGGTATTTGAATTCCTGGCTTCATTTGAACATCTAGCCTAGCTACATCCCTGTACTTCTCTTGATTCAATCGTGTAACTTTCCTTGAATTACACAATCTATCTCAGTAGCTTCCTAAAAATCTTCCCTTTCTGCCTAAGCTAGGGTTGGGTTAAACATTTTAAATATTTGCCCATATATCTAACATATGGTAGTGTATTACTCTATTGAATTCAAGTGTTAAGTTAGGTTTCCAGGTTCTCTAATGCAAAGGAAGCATAAAATTCGGCTGAAAGCAAGCTGGTTAATGTAATTTGGTTTGAAAATAAACATCACCAATGTATTTTTTTGATAATTGGTTTGTTTTTTTTTTTTGGTGTACTCTAAGCAGTTTTGCAATCTTTTCATGTCTTTTTTTCCTTGAGATTTTTCTTCATTTCTGCTTTTCAAATTTGCCTCTTAAAACTTTAAATATTTGCTAATAGAATTTAAAGTCAGTTGGTTTTTCCTCTGGACTGCTTATAGTAGAAAAAAGCTGGAGTAAACTCAATATATAATAATAAGGGATTATTATAAAGAACAAATTATGTATCTCAAACAGGGCATTAGTTGGAAATACAAATGTCTACTATGTTGTAAACTTAGTAGACATAAGTGACCAACAGGATTATTTTATAGTTTATTGCTCAAATTTCTCTTTTCTGAGGAAAAAATCTAACTTAGGAAATATCAGAAACCATAAACAAAAAATTTCTGGCGCGGTCACTCTCACTGTGACACCAATGCCAAAACCCCACTCCTCTTGGCATAAACAGAGCTGCTGGCTCCAGCAGCCCCTTGGCTCAGGGGTCAGGATGGTAAAATTCTCCCTTCCCCTACCTCTCAAGAGTTGCTGCTTTATCAAGGACAGTTTAGAAAGTGGGTCATTGGGAAGATGCCCCTCCCCTGAGCTGGCAGGCATGAGAGCACTGTTGTCTGGATGATGGCACCTTCTCAGGCTATTGGGGACAGAGTTCGAGAGGGTTAAGGTTAGGAATGGAGTAAGGGGTTCAAATGAAGTGATAGAAGATAAGGGTTTTTTGATAAAAGTGGAAGTAGAGGAGGGCTGCAACTGTTCCTCTGTGTGAGTTCAGACAGGTCCCTTCCTCTTTCTGGGCTTTTCCCATCTGTGCAATACCAAATTAGGTTAGGTGGCCTCTGGGGTCCCCATCAGCTTTGACTGGCTTTGATTCTGGGAGGTGGAAAGGCAAAGGAAGGAGATCACAGGACAGTTAGTGACCCTGGCAAAGGTGGACAGAGAAGGGCTGATTGTTATTAGAGATGGAGTGAGTAGAGTGGGGCAGTGAAGTGCTCTGGTGCTTCATTTTTACTCATCATTTTTTTTGAGACAGAGTTTTGCTCTTGTTGCTCAGGCTGGAGCGCAATGGCGTGATCTCAGCTCACTGCAACCTCTGCCTCCCAGGTTCAAGCGATTCTCCTGCCTCAGCCTCCCAAGTAGCTGGGATTACAGGCAGGCACCACCACACCCCACTTTTTTTTTTTTTTTGTATTTTTAGTAGAGACTGGGTTTCACCATGTTGGTCAGGCTGGTCATGAAGCATTTGCTGAAGAGGCAACTGTAGTACAATTGAAATAACTGTTAACCTCAAGTTGGACATTTGTGGGTTTGAATTGTAGCTCCACTGTTTCCTAGCTGTAAGCCTCAGACTTTCAATCTCTAAAAATGCCTATAATAATTACCTGGAAGGATGCTGTGAAGAGCAAATAAGACAATCTCTAATGAGCTCTGCAAAAGCTTCAAAGGCTGTCCAAATAGGGGTTCAGTAGACATTTGTCATTGGATCAAAGAACTGCAATACTGCTCCCCCTCAGCTGAGTAGGTCTCTTTATGGACATAACACTCCCTCTTCCATTGGCCCATCGTGTTTTTATGTGTGCGTGTGTGTATAAAGGACAAATATTTATGCATATCAAAGGGGAGGAGACTGAGAAATTCCATTATATGCAAAGTCCTGGATGGCTCAGGTAATTAAGGGTCGAATGCTGGTTCGGTTACTTTTTAATTGTGTGCCTTCAGGCAAGTCTTTCACCTCTCTGAGCTTGTGTATAAGACAGGGGATAACCATACTCACCTCAGAAGACTGATGGGAAGAGGAAAATGGACAGTAAATAGCAGAGTCTTTCTAAACCCAAAGACCTGTACAACTACAACTGCAGTGCTGCAGAGGGAGTTGTACTGAAAAAACATTACACAAAGAATTTGGTTAGGGTGAGGGCAGACTGAAGAATGATAAAGGGGTTGGACTTTGGAATCAGAGGGCCTTGAGATTCTGTCCATGCTTCAAGGCCGTGGAACACAGGCAAGTTGCTTAACTACATTCATCTAAAAGGGAAGAACACCTACACCTCAGTGAATTGTTGCGGACTAAGCTCTGCTATGTATGTATCTCCTATCATGCCCTGCACAAAGTAATTACCAGAATTACTATGGATAAGGCCCGAACAATTCACCTTTAATGTTCCATGCTTCTATTTTCTCTAACTTCAGCTTAGTTTTTGGAAGCTGTGAACACCTCTTAAGGGCAAAGTTCCATTCTAGGGTCCAGGAATCAGGAGCTGGAAGCTCATGGCAGGCAGGACTCTATCCCTCCCAGACCTGTGAAATCTTATTGTTACTCACTCTGGCTTAGGACAATGAAGTGAAGCTAAAATCAGGGTCCATGGATCCACGTAGTCCATTTGGAAGGACCTGCATAAAAATGGTCAAATATGCAAATGTTTAGTGCTGCTTAGTAAGGTAAGCACCATGTTATAGGTCACAATGTGGCCAAGTCTAACCGTGCTAAACTCCATGATAAGAGCCACCAGCCTTCCTGGAAAGGCTCCATTTCTCAGAAACACATGAACCAAATCATACCTTTTGTACTACATGGTAAGCTTTCTTGATGCCAAAGAAAATGGAATGTGACAGAACTTTTAATCCCATAAAAGACTCAATATATTTGGCACCCTCATTTTATAGTACTCCTTTTTGGTACAGAATCATTTTGCCAAAATACTCCTGTGACACAGATGTACATGATAAACTGTAAAATGGAATTTCACCCATTGAAGAGCCCCAAAAGAACAATATGGTAGTGCAGCATGAACCAACATGTAACTTCTAATTTTCAATATCCCCAAATTGCAAAATACTAATAGCTAATATATATACTATATGCCAAGTATTAAGTACTTTTTAATTATTATCACACTCTGTTACAACCGCACTATGAGGAAAGTAGAATAGTACAATTATCTCACTTTGCAGATGAAGAAGCTGAGGTACAGAGATTCATTTACTCAAAATCATATAGGCTATGAGGCTCTCTCAAGTCTAGCTTTTAAGAGTTGATAAATGTGGAGCCTTTGGCTAGTAAGCTTTGCTACTCTTGGAAATGAATTTAGCCTTAGAAGTATGTTGAAAACTACTATTTATAATTTGCTGTTACACCAACAGGTAAACAGTGAACTATAAGTTAGTGTCATGAAAAGGCTAGAGTATATGGAGGGGGAAGATCACTTCTGGTTTGGGGGGTGGCCAGAAAGTCAAAGAAAGCTTTGCAGCAGTGGCATTTGAGCCAGGCCTTGGAAGATAAAAAAACATTTGTGTCCTGTACTTAGTAGGAGCTTGGTCAAGACAACACAAATATTAGCAAAACTAATGACCTGGATGATATTAAGAAATAAGCCCTAAACAAGGTGCACAACACCTGTGTGACAATATTCTTCAGTATTCACTTTACCCTAGTGTGCTGATTTCCAGTTTGGTTGTCATATCCATGTTCATAACAATACCAAAATAGATTATAGAGACCAAAATCTAATATTGTTTCTTTTTCATGATAAACATCTTTTATTACATCTTAGTGTGCAAAAATACAAATTATCTTGAAAAAATACAGAGCACTCTCGCTACGGATCTGGGCAAAGACATGACGAACAAAAATTCCCTAACAGATGACAGTGAACACTTCAGTGGATGGGAACTACAGTAGCCCTGTTCTCATTATACTATGAAGCCAAATTAATCAACTTTGATGATACACACTTAAACTATCAAAACCAATTAAGGCACAGTGTCATTCAAAATTTATAGACAGAATAGCAATAATCCCAAGAAAATATAATTAAAATACTCTGCTGAACATGGAATTATACATTTGTAACTTAACACTGGCAAAATGTGGAATGATTATAGCATAAGAGACATTGTTTTTCTGAAAAGTGGACAAGGAGGTGTGGTATATAGGAAAGTGGCTCAGATTCAAGACTCAAATTTATTTTTTAAAAGATCTCTTCTGCATTAGATTCTAGGTTTCTTTTTTGGTTTCAAAACTGGGTCCACAATCCATAAAAGTGACATTAATGAACACAGCATAAAGATCTTAAAAAGAATCTGATTATACCAGCAGTTTGGTAACATATTGGTAGAGCTGTTCCGTAAATGCTTCAGGGGAAAATTTTTCCTTCACCTTGGCTCTTCCAGCCAGGCCCATGGTGGCTTTTAAGGAAGGTTCACGGATGAACTTTTCTATTGCTTCTGAGAAGTGCACTGGGTCAGGCTCACACAGAAACCCTGTGACACTGTGGTCAATGGACTCCAAGGGTCCCCCAGAATTAACAGCAATGACTGGGCACTGCATGTACATGGCTTCCAGAGGGACAATGCCAAAGTGCTCATTGCTTGGTGTGTAAAGCACACACGTGCAGCTGTGGAGGAGGGAGATTTTCTGTTTGTCTGAGAAAGACCTCAAGAAGGTCACATACTGGCCAAGGTCAGACTGTTGGACCATTTGCTTCAATTCCTGGTAATGTTCCACATTCTCCAGGACTCTCTCGTCATAACCACCTGCCATGATCAGATGAACCCTCTCCCAATCTTGGGATGTCAATCTTCCACGCAGCTGTACTAGGGCTTCCAATGCCAAAGTCAGATTTTTCTTCCTTTCGTATCTGTTGATAGAGAGCAGCAGGAATTTTTTCCCCTTGGGGACTAGGTCATCAAGCTTTTCAGGAACAACTGAATCAAAGCTGGTGACATTTAGAGATGGATAGAGGACATCAGGGTCTATGTGAGACAGGGTCTTGAATGTTTTCTTAAAAACAGCAGCAGTGAACTGGCTGTTGACTAAGATGCAGTCTGCCATGCCTGTGGTGTATTCCTCTATCCAGTCAATCGGGGCCCTGTATAACCGTTTAAGAAAAGAATCTCTCTTGGTGAGAAGCAGATCTGGGAAGTGACAGTAAAACAGGATCTTCTTCCGCCGTCTAGCCAGCCTGAACACTGGAATACAGGCAGACACCTAGCCAAAGCAAAAATCAACAGCAGATAAAGCGGTCAACTCAACTTCCACCAAACCAAAAACACAGACACCCACCCTGCATGCTAGTCTGTGGGCTCCTCATAGGAAATGTCTACTTCTGTTTTGTTCCCCAAGACTCTCAGCCAGTACCATATGCCTGGTGTACAGAAGGCTAGAGACATTTGCTAGATGTGTGCTAAATATTTAAAGCTTCAAGTCCAGTGGTTTCCTCTTGAATAGTGCTGTCTAATAGAAATCTAGTAATATTAAAAATGTTTTCAAGGGTGAAACTAATTTTAACATATTATTTACCCAAAACATTATCATTTCAAAATGTAATCAATACTAAACAGTATTAATGAGATACTTTATATATACATATATTTCACATTAAATCTTCAAAATCAGTTTGTATTTTAACTTTAGCGCATCTCAGTTTAGACTAGCCACATTTCAAGTGCTCAACAGCCACATGTGGCTAGTGGCTACCATACTGAACAGTGCCGCTCTAGATCTTTCTCCTCCTAAGGAAATGAATGAATGAACTACAGTAGTTGAGAGCACAAGCTCTAGATTCAAGACTGCCAGGGTTTGAATCTCAGCTCTACTAATTGTGTGGCCACGATCAAGTAATTTATCCCACTCTGGGCCTTAGTTTCCTCTTCTGTAACATGGTGACAATTATAGTTCAAAAAACCCATATAATTTTTGTGATGACTAAATGCACTGATATATGCAAAACACATGGAGTTTAGCACACAGTATGTGCTCAATAAATATTAAAGCTAGTCATCATTGAGCATGAACTACATGCTGGCATTACTACAGACTTTCTTGTTGGGTAATCTTTACAAGTCATTTTAGTCTCAGCTAACTTAACACCTGAAGAAGGTAACTTTAGGCATAATGTGCAATTTATTCAAAGCCACTTAATTAAAGCAGTAGATAACAGAACTTGAATCCAGGATGCCTATTTCCAAGTCAATATTTTTCCTCTACCCACTATAGTCTCAGCTGCCTCATGCCTACTGACACATGCAGGATGTTTGGTAAATGTCCATATTACTTAAAAAGAAAGCTTCCATGCAAACAAGGATGATGAAAAGTAACTCAGGAGTCACAATTAAAGAAACACAAATACAAACGTGATGCCATTTGCACCTATCAGTTTGGCAAAGATTAAAATGGTTAATTTTAATATCCAAGGCAGACAAAAGCATGGATCATATATTGTTGGGCAGTAAAGTGACACGGCCTCTTTGGTAGATAAACTTGGCAGTAGCTGTTAATATTTAAAATTAACAACTTTTAGACACACTAACTTTAGGAATTTCCTCAAAGGATGTATTTGCAGAAGTACAAAAAAATAAAAAAAAAGAAAAGGATGTTCATAATAACACTGATGTATTCACAAAAAAACTAGTCACAGCATTAGTGTCCTTTAAGAAGAATGTTTAATTATGACACACTTAAACAAAAGTGGATTTTCTGGCCACTATGAAGAATGAAGTGAATCTCTAATATTGATACATAAGAATGTCCCGGCTGGGCACGGTGGCTCATGCTTGTAATCCCAGCACTTTGAGAGGCCGAAGTGGGCGGATCACGAGGTAAGGAGTTCGAGACCAGCCTGGCCAACATGGTGAAACCCCATCTCTACTAAAAATAGAAAAAAATTAGCCGGGCATAGGGCGCGCGGCTGTAATCCCAGCTACTCCGGAGGAGGAGGTTGCAGTGAGCCGAGATCGCGCCATTGCACTCCAGCCTGGAAGACAGAGCAACTCTGTCTCTAAATAGATAAATAAATAAATTTTTGTTGAAAAAGAAGGAAGATGCCTAAGAGTAGGTATGTCATAATACCAATTATGTACCAATAAGAAGATATGCCTACGAAAAGAGACAGGCTGGTGTCACCACAACTTCTGAAAAAATACAAGAGAAACTTAACGGTGGCTATCTTCAGGGAGTAGAATAGGATGGGGCTTTTAGGTTACATCCTTCTATTTTTTTAGTCGAGTAAATGTTTAGTCGAGTAAATGTTACTTTTTAAAGTCATCTTTTTTAGGATGGGAAAAATGCATAAAGGAAAGAGTCGAGAATAGCTACAGGGCAGATCCAGGTGGACATTATTGACCAAGGTAAAAAGCTTGAACTTTTTTCCAAAAACCAATGCGGAGCCATGTACAAGTTTTAATAGGAGTATGATATATTCAGCTTGGTGTTTTTAACACATGACACTGCTGAGGACGGTGTGGCCTGGCTCCGAACACAAGGACAGCGAGATGCAAATGGCCTGAAAGGAGAGTCAACAAAAATAACAGATAAGAGGTAAGACAACACGCGAGTTACTCATTAGTAAAAGGTGACTGAAGCTGACTTCGAATAACAGCGTTTCTCACAGCGAGCCCCAAGGACTAGCTGCATCCAAATCACCCTATGACCGAGTTAAAATGCAGATTTCTGGGCCCCACCTCATGGCTCCTGGATGAAAACTTCCTGGAGGGTGAAACCCTAGCAATCTGCAACTTTAAAAATCTCTAACACTAAAGTTAGGGGACCACAGGCTCGCTCCCAGCCCTGACTTCTCCAGGTCAGTTCCGATCTTTCCAAACTGCAGACAGGCAAGGTCCTCTCTCAGGGGTCATGCCCGCGGCCGCCCTCCACGGCGAGGTCCGCACTCGCGCAGCCGGCCCCGCGGCCGCCTCACCTGGTCGCACACTACCACGTCGAACTCCTCGTCGGCGAGGAACAGCACGTAGAGCGCCAGGAAGACCATGCGCACGTAGGCGCAGACGGCGGCGCCGTGGCCGCCCCAGCCCAGGCCGCGCGGCAGCCAGTCTCCGGCACAGTGCACCGGTAGTTCGCGGCTCTCGGCGAAGCAGTGGCCCGGGTCGTAGTGCGCTGTCCAGATCTTCACGTTACACCCGCGCGCCTGCAGCGCCAACGCCGCGTCCAACACCAGACGCTCAGCGCCTCCTACGCCGAGGTCTGGGTGCAGGAACAGCACCGACGGCTTGGGAACCAGGTCCCGTTGCCGGGCCTGCTCCTCCGCCATTGCCCTAGAGCCGCAACTGCTCCCCGCACCCTGAGGCGTCTTCTGCGCAAGCTCCACCCCTTAGCTCCCAGCTGGCCACTGCGGGCCGACCCCGCCCTGCCGTACGTGCGTCAGTTAGGCCACATCAGCGCAAATCTGTGAGAGCCTAGTAACTGCCTGAGAAAATAGCTTGTCTGACCCTGGTTATATTTTTCCTTCGGTAGGGATTGGACTCTATGAAGGACGTTGTGATCCAAAGGAAGGAGGCTGGAGGTATCTACTTCCCACACAGCAGGTAACTAAGTTATCTGTAGCAGACTATCTACAGGCATATCTTGAGACGACCCAGACGTCCCTGGAGTCAGCGAGGACCTTGCCTGCAAGTCCGGGGGCGGGGCCTGAGCCAGTCTCGCCAGCTGCCGGTCCTTCGGCGTCTCCGCAACTTTCCTTCCGTCCGCGTCAGCTGCTTGCCACCGGTATCTCCAGCATGGTATGGCGGCCCTTCCACGATCTCCGCCTCTTCCAGGAGCCCTGACTCCTCCTGCTTTGCGCCGTGCCTTTCCTCTGCAGCTCCCTTGCTTCCCCCAGCCTCGGGTGCGGGTGTCTAGGCCGGGGTTTTGGGGGCCGCGCTCACCCGTCTGTCTACTTGTCTCCCGCTACAGCCTGGTCCGACCCCCAGTGGTACTAACGTGGGATCCTCAGGGCGCTCTCCCAGCAAAGCCGTGGCCGCCCGGGCGGCGGGATCCACTGTCCGGCAGAGGTAAGGAACCCTGCAGTTCGTTCGATTGCAGAGTCGGAGATAGGACCCAGGAACTCGCTGGTTCTGGGGTGGAGACCCTAATATATGAAGATTGACAGGGGCAAAATGAGCTTCTAGTGACGTGGCCATGGGAGTAAAGGCCTTTTGGGAGGAAGGCGACATTTTCTTCTCGTTGCTCAGTTTAGGGCACCACTCTTAAAAAAGGAAAGTTAACAAACTGGAATAGAGTCAGAGATAACTTTGAGAAAACCGATGTCATTAAACTGGTGTCTCTGGACCTGAGGTTTGCAGTCATATTTCCATCTGGAGGCCCCATAAGCAATCTGTCCTACAGATAACTCGTCCTACACAAAACTTAGTCTCTTTTCAGCTCAGCTCTCTCACTCTCAATTATATCTCCTTACTTCCATATGGCACTGTTGTACACTCATTTACTCGGAGCCAGAAACGTCAGCGTCATCTTGGATTTTTCTTATGCTCTCTCTCTATCCAGTCATATGCCAGACTTTAAACTGTACTTGAAAGCCTTCTCATAAGCTCTTTCCTTCTCCCTTCCTACTGCCCTGCATTTGCTACTTAACCTTTCTCCTCAGCCTGTTTCCTTTCCAATCCATCGTTCACCCTGCTGTTACTCTTCTGCGTAGTTTGTTACTTTCTTGTTGCTGAACTAAAAAAAAAAAAAAAAAGCCGGGGGATACCAAAGCTCTTAGTGGTCATTTCACCCTAACCTTTTTTTTTTTTTTTTTTTTTTTTTTTGAGACGGAGTCTCACTCTGTTGCCCAGGCTGGAGATCAGAGGCATGATCTCGGCTCACTGCAACCTCCACCTCCAGAGTTCAAGCGATTCTCCTGCCTCAGCCTCCTGAGTAGCTGGGGCTAAAGGCACATGCCACCACGCCCGGCTAATTTTTTGTATTTTTAGTAGAGATGGGGTTTCACCGTGTTAGCCAGGATGGTCTCGATCTCCTGACCTCATAATCCTCCCACCTCGGTCTCCCAAAGTGCTGGAATTACAGGCGTGAGCCACCGCGCCCGGCCTTCAGCCTAATCTTTCTTTGCTGTCCTATGATCCAGCACTCATGAACTCATTACTGTTTTCTGAATTCACAAACTTTCTCCCTCACCTCAAGGCAAATTTCTCTTTATTTTCCAAGACTAAGCTCAGGGGTTATTTCCTCTTGAGGCCTTCTCTGACTGTAAGCAGCAGTAGCTACTAGTTTTCCCTTTTGCTCACATAACATTTTGTTCATATCATTGTAAGACCAGTGATGTTTCCATGTCTATCTCCTTCATTAGACTTTTAACAGAGAACCTGTTCAAGTCATTTCTGTCCCCAGCACCCACCATAAGGCATGACACAATAAATAATGACTGCAGGAAGGAATCAAGCAACCATGTTGTTTTGGGGTTTTTGAAGGAGTTAGTGGGGTTTTATCTAGGAAGGAAAAGATCTTGACCGCATGCATGGAAACTTCTTAAGGGTGTGAAGAGGGATGTGACATTTGTTGACTGCAATAGGTAAATCTAAAACTGATGATTTGAACTTACATGAAGTATTTCACATCAGAACAAAGAAATTCTAATAGAACTATCAGAAATGTAAAATTATCCTGAATGATTGTGAGTTCCCTGTCACTGGGATGTTCAAGAGGAGTGTATCAGGCTGTGGTTTAACTTATATGGGCTTTGAGTGCTGTCCCCTTCCCACCCTGCGTTTCAGAGATTGTGCAGGAATGGAAAACATGCCCTGTGGGTGCGGTTCCTTGGGAATGGTTCTGCTTAATGAGAATTGGTAATACTGTGGCAGGGAAGTTTGGCCATCCGAGAATTTGTAAGGAAATAAAAGAAAAAGCACATATTTATCAAATGTACATACGATAATGGAATTATTTATTTAATAGTAAAAATGAAATAACTGATGCACAAGTGAAATGGAGAACTTAAACATTTGAAGACAGATGCAGTTTTTCAAGTTGTGGGTGTTGGTGTGTCATCTTTTAGGATTCAGTGTGATAGAGCGAGTGTAACTAGAAAGACCGTGGTTGTATGGATTGAGAGACCTGACAGTGTTTCCTTCCAGAATTTTGGTAGTGATTAAGTATCATTTCATAAGTATAATGTAGTAAGTATTGGTTGTGTAAGAATATCCTTGCTTTATAAGTCTTTGAGAAAACATTGGAAGTTAATGATTCATAATAGTGCTTTGGATTATGTTGTCTGCAGAGTTGCATTCTCCATGCTTGATGAGGTAATAGATACTACCTTGGAGGAGAAATGTTATTAAGTTTAAGCTCAGGCCGGAGTTGGTGTTCTTGCTCTCCTAAATACAATGAAAACGAACTTGCTGTGAGGAGCAATAATGCTTTATAAACTGTAAAGCTGTGAAGCGCCACATATTGTTCTAGCAGGATTAATGGGAATCAGGGATATTAAGATGGCGGAATAGCCACCAATGTATAGACGTCAAGGTATTGAGGTCTACTACATGCCAAATGCTGTTTCATCTCCGAAGATGGGTCTGTGAACAAGATAGGCAAGGTTTGGACTCATGAACCTTGTATTCCACTGTGGGAGATCAAAAACAAGGAAAATAAGACAATGTAATTTCAGGCAATAAAGGCTATGAAGATAACGCTGGGTGGGGGATAGAGAGCGGTGGGGATAGGGTGAAGGTAGGTAGTTGTTTTAGACAGGATGTTGACAGTAGGTAATACCTGAGTAGATACCTGAAAGAAGCAAGAGAGCAAATCACACAATGGTTTGGGGATGAGTAGGCTTCCTAGGCAAAAAGAGTGGGTAAGTATGAAGATTCTGAGGTCAATAAGCTTGGCTTTGAGGAGCAGACAGAAGCACCATGTTAGAACAAAGTGTGTAACTGGTTAGTTATGAAAACCATTGTGTTGAGGTATAGAAGGGAGAGGCAGTTATACAGTGACCAGAAAGAAAGGGTAAAATAGCCCCCAGATACAAATTTGAGAGATTCAAGTATGCTTTATTAACCTTTACCTAGCTTCCCCTAGGGAATGGGAGGTATTTTGAGTACACTTTAGTATTTCTAGGGGCCCTGGTTTTCAAATACTCTTCTGTGTTCCATGTGCCAGCAGAAATAAGAAAGCTTAAGAGAAGCCAGACTGATTCCTCTGGGGCTCCTGTAATTCCAGGAAACTTTGAAGTCAGGAACTGGAGGTGGGAGATTGTGGGAATAGTAGGAAGTACATGGGTCCAAGTCCTGGCTCAGTCCATGACTTACTATAATATGTTCACAATGAGTTTATCTTCTAGGTTAAAATCCTTTTCAGTGAACAAGGAGGAAGATTTCAGCTGCATACCCCACAGATGAAATGACATGTATCTGTGTGTGAAACCTTTTCTAAGGGCATGAATTTTTCTGTAAATCCCTGTACAGTTATGTTTTGCCATTTACAATCAGTTTTCCCGTAGAAATGGTCACACAGTGAAGTTTTAAGTTCCCAGGATACCACGTAGTCCATAATTAATGTATCTGAAATACAATCTTTGTAGTACAATAGACCCAACTCATGGTTTGACACTGATTGCTTTCAGAGTTCGGGCATGATCACAGCTCTTCCTGTTAGAACCAGGACTGCACTCTCCCACTCCGTCATGTAGCAGGGCAGGCTCCCTGAGCTGTAGACGGTGCTTCCTGCATTCAGAGTGTGGAGTAAAGACCGTGGTTGGGTAAAGTGGGCATGAGGACCAGAATGGGGAGGAAAGCAAGAAGAGATGGTAGGGGTAGGGTTTTCACTTCTGTTCTCTTCCCTATATGCCCTTCCCTTTTTCAAAAATCGAGAATCATCGGCCCGTAGATAGTGGAAGGAGATTTTGAGGGAGGGTATACCGGGATTTGATGCTGAATGGTGCAGGCAGCAATGAGACAGGCTTCCCCTCTCTCCTCCCTTGTAGGACTTCTGAGTTGTTGATACATGAGCTGAAGAAGATTTCTTGTGACTTCTCGCCACTTGCCGCTTACCCTCATATTGTATCACTCCAACATGGGAAGCGATGAACAGCCGGGGTTGGGGAAGTACTGCATGGAAGGGTAGTTGCTGCATCGGATTCTCCGGTGACTGAGGGCTTCTCCCAAAGAGGAGAGAAAGAATTCCTTGGGCCTATTCCTGGTCAGCGGAGTCCTTAAGTGCTGCTAGACTGCTTCTGTTTGCCAGGGCTGCGTGTGTCACATAGTGTATCTTACAAGCCTTGATCCCCTTGTGAGAGACACGTTTTGGTTGGGTGTTCTCTGCATTTTTTTACATTCTACCTCTCTC